CGTCATCCAAAGAATCTGCGATCACGACATCCTGCACAAGACGGCAAAGTGGCACAGGGCTTGGCTGGCCTGTCACATCGAATCACAGCTTCTTTACCATCCCTGGCTCCTTCCTCTCCATGGAATGGGTTGGCTTACACTGGCTAGGTATCTCTGCAACCCAACCATGCTACGTTGCGAGGTCCGCCCCCGGACTTTGGGCTCCAACATGCCACGAATTGAAAAGGAGACCCGCTCTTCTGCGACCCGTCCACATCCCTCCACATCCCTCCACATCCCTCCAACCCAAGCGGCACCGAGAGGAGGCAGTGGAAGGCGCGGCTCAGCGAGGACTCAAAGGAAATGCAGTTCAGGGCCTCGGCCAAGGTGTCGTGAAGGGCTACTCAACGCTGGCTTGTGTAGGGCTTGGGCCGGGTTGTTCGTCCATGCTTGTCCACCCCGCTTGAAAGTCGTCCCTTTTGCTAGCTAAAAACATGCAGGACAGGTTCTCGACCCCGAGTCTGCGACAGAAACTCAAGAGCCTGACTTTGACGAGCTCTTGAGCAATTGCTGAAGACACACCCCAAAGCGATTCTATCAGAATGCCATGTATGACCCGTTCAGCATTTAGGCATCCATCCTTGTGGCCTGCATTGGCCTGCAACCTCCCCATCAAACACGCCAACCTCAAGATGCCAAAAGCTGGCCCCGGCCGGTCGGAGCTTCAGTCTGCCCTGCAACGCCTGGCAGCGCGGGAACTCCGTGGATCGGCCGTTTCTCCCCTTGGCTATGCCTTTCGAGATGTCCACATCTTCTCCCGGACGCCTTGCCAAGATATTTCACAGGCCCACGCCAGCGCCTCATGGAGCCGTCGCTCCATGGCTATGCTCCGCAGGTTGTCCAAAGGCAGGAAGGTCAGCGGTGCCATCATGCGATCCTGGCCATCCACAGTTGCACGAGATCATGATTACACAAACTATAGCTAAGCCCAGCAGGTACAAAGACAATAGCAGTACAGAGATCGCTGCTCTGGCCTCCTCCGCCTCCTCAAGCCTCCTACGCCTCCTATGCCTCTGCCGCCAGACTCCAGGAACTGTCGCTCCTAAATCCTCGCGACTTGATTCCCCAGAAAGGTCGAGGAGTGTAGCGGACGCAACGTGCAAATTTGGGCCTCCTGAACTCGACATGACCAACAGAACACGCAGTACGGGGCTTGTCCCTTGGGCCTTGAGGTGTTGCACGCAAGAGCGTGCCCCATCTATCGACTGGGTGATGACGGCGTCCAGGTGACCGTTGAGCCTAGGACTTTGGGCTGCCCTCGGGGGGAGGCTCGCTGGTTTAGGATCCGTGGGCCGTGTGGCTTTGGAGATTTGTGTTGAAGGGGTGCAGGAGTGTAGCAGCATGGCTCTGCGGTGGCCCTAAATACCTGAGCGGTGCAACAACATGACGGTCGGAAATACATGCTCTGGGCACCGGGCGCTACATTGACCGCCACACGGAAGCGCTTCTGCACCGGATTGCACAAGTTCACCACCTAAGCATTGGGGCCATGGGTTCTTGGATTGGCAGCCAGGTCGGAGGGCTTAATGACATTTCAACCTTCGCGCCTGCTTGGGTTGACCTATGTCATTGGGGTTTTTTGCCGTGAGTATCTTGACGCATAACCTCTGTCCCTAGGAGCTAATCTCTTGATTTACGAAGGCAACGGCTAGGAGAGGAGAATGAGAGCGAAAAAAAAGTCCCTTTTAATGAGTCCTTTATGGTGAGTCCTTTATGGGGCTTTTTCCCCGCGTTCGTACGCGCACTTCATTCTCTAGTACGTTGTCCTTCTTATCTTGTTTCATTGCGGAAGTTGCAGACATCAAGAAATTTGAGGGTTTGAAGGGGGCGTTGCGGGATATACAGTTCCGGTGAATAAGGACCACAGGTATGCGTCCCGGTCGCGCAACCTTAAAAGCTTATCGCCAAAAAATCCAAAGGTCAAAATCCAATAGTGCCATACCAATAGATAACAGACTAGAAAGACAAATAACCATAAGGTTTCAAGAAAACGCCAATAAAGAAATGTAGATTCATGGAAACGTGTGCAAAAAGGGTCTCATAAACTACAAAATATTCTAGCCCTTTTCCACTATGAACTCACTTCTTCTCATTCAAGGGCGAGTTTACAAGTGAGCCACTTATATCATTTCTTTCGGATATACGCCGTCATCGTGTGGTCGCTTGTTGGCTCACTAGTAGTATTATTGTTCACTCCAAACACCCTGTGAAAATGATTCAATTGGGGCACTCATTCACGTCTTCATTCGTGCGTGTCTTCTGTGCGCTAACAAATGCCAAAAAAAACAAACGCACGAAAACGCTATAATGATAACAAAATTCATGATGATGATAATAATAAAAATCATCATCATACTTATAATAATAGCAAAATAGATTAGCAATAATAATTACAACAGTACTCACAACGACAATAACAACAGTAACAATATCAATAACAATAACAATAACACTAACACTAACAATAACAATAACAATAACAATACCAATTGCAATAGTAATAACAATAACAATAACAGTAACAATAACAATAATAACAATAAGCCTTGAATAAAGTTCACGCCATCATCTTGGGCCCGCGGCCCGGCCGAAGACCCCAGGCACCGCGTGCGACAGCTCCGTGCACACGCGCGTCAACCTGTTCAAACGGCTCTGCAGTGAGATTTGGAAATTCGGGCTTCAGAGTCCACTTGGGCAGGCGGACGTCAAGTTGGAAGGGCTAACACCTCATGCTGCGCCATGCTGCACCTCTGGCCTCTAAGGTTCCACAGGAGGTTGGAGGTTGGAGGGAGGTTGGAGGTTGGAGGTTGGAGGTTGGAGGTTGGAGGTTGGAGGTTGGAGGTTGGAGGTTGGAGGTTGGAGGTTGGAGGTTGGAGGTTGGAGGTTGGAGGTTGGAGGTTGGAGGTTGGAGGTTGGAGGTTGGAGGTTGGAGAAAAACTCCTCGCGAGCATCAAGTTTGCAGTCACCTGTCCCACGCAAAGACCAAGCCATGGGTTTCGAAGCTGCGCACCTCCTCTCCATCTCGATCTGGCGCTCCGTTGCAGTGATGTCTTGAATCTCCTGAAGAGGGCTTTTTCGGGTTTTGAGGCTTTGGCTTGATGAGGACAGGAAGACGTCCTCCGGAGGTCAACGCTTTTCACGCGAGAGTGTGGGGTGTGAAAGGGTTTGGGGTGTGTGGGTGTGTGAGTTTAACATCCTCCAAGATCTGCTGCCGCTCTTCATCCAGCTGGCGCCTGCTCTCACCTGCTCATGACGCCGAACTGATTAGCTGCTTAGCTCGAGACTCGAGGAGCCTGGAGGCAGGATTGGCCATGACGACACTTTAGACCCCTGAGGCTTGAGGTCCCCTAAAAGCCTACATCCCAAGCCCAGAGGTTCAAAAGCCCCAGTTCCTGACAGCCTTTTGCACTGCACAGTTCATGACAAGATGTGACGTACATTGTACAATTCAGAAAGTCAGAGGCCGCCACGGAGAGCCTGGCATTTTCTGGCGAGCTCCTCGGATAGGAGGCTTCGGGGGAGCATTGGAAGCCCTGAACCCTGAGGACCACGACAACCCTGCCTGCACTTCTCCCTTCTTCTGAGCCGCTTCGGCGGCCACATTTTCGTGCCTCGGTCCAGTGCTTTGTCAACCGAATGGCCGCCGATGCATCGGCACAAAACTTCCAATCAACACCCCCAGTTGGCACCACTCTCACCTGCACAGTACGATGAATACCATGAAAGCCTTACCAAGCGTCTGTCCTACATTGAACATCCACACAAGGGTGCCCGGGCGCGGCCCGCGCGGACTGAGCGGTGGCCGTCAGATCCTCCACCTCTGGGATTGCGAGGGTCTTGAAGGGTTTAAGGTGGGTTGGATGGCTTGGGTGTCGGAAACTGGTGGGCTGTCGGTGATGTCACGACACGTAAGTCTGAATGTAAGTGTAGCTATCGAGGTGTTGCTCCTCTGCTCTGACTTCGCATAGCTAAGCCTGGTCTACAAAAGCATCTCCAAGCTTGCTGGCCCCGACAATCAGAAATTGTGATCCGGAGGCCTTCTGCTGCAAGTGCTCGGCGCGCATGGCGGCCTGAAACACGCAGAACTGGCACATGACATCTCACATGACTGAGGTTGAGCTCTGCACAGGCCCTGGATGATTACTCTCATGGAGAAACAAGCCACTTCGACCCTCGCCAGCCGCTGCTGTGGCTGATTCTGATATTTGCCGTGGACAGCTTCTGGAGCAGTCGTCAACGTCATCGTCACCATCCCTGATCCCCATCATCATCATCATCATCATCATCATCATCATCATCATCGTCGACGTCATCGTCATCATCATCATCATCAACATCATCATCATCATCATCAACATCATCATCATCACCACCATCATCATCATCATGTCGTCATCATCATCATCATCATCATGTCGTCATCGTCAACATCCATCATTTGTGTTCCACATCGCCGTCATCGTCCTTGTCATCGTCATCGTCGTCATCATCAAGGGCATCATAACTCATGTATGTACTTACGTGATGAAGGATGGCGCGAGACCGACCCCGCCTGACTGTTGACACTTTCCACACGACGTACGCGCCGACATCTCTGCCACTCTTGAGATTCAAGTGTCCAATCGAAGTCAGTTTCGAGGATGGCGCCACACCAAATCTACCAAGAGGGCTGTCCAGCTGTTGCCAGATACGAGGCGCGCAAATGACCACAGTTTTTACAGCGGCGACGAATGACATGGCCGTCCCACAGAAGGTTGCCATTGTTGAGCCCAACGTAGCTTGCAACAAAAATGTTGAAAACATTTATTGCTTTGCCAACTATGCCACGCCATTCTCGCCTTCGGTGCTAAACTTATTTCGTGTAAGATGAACCACAGAAAACCCCAAAAGCATCAATCATCAGCAACACAGCCTGCAGCTAAAATCCCTTCGCAGCATTTTTGGTAAGTAAACCTGTCCCGAATGGAAAAGCGATGGTGCCTGAAAGTGAGGAGGCTCCCAAACCTAGATGCCACGCAGCTACTTCGGGTTGGGGGGGTTTTTGGGCTGCTTCGGGCCTCCCGCCGGCTGCGCTCGGCCGTGGCCCGGCGCTTGGCCAAGGCACGAAGCTCGTGCTCCAGCTCCCGCGCCTTTGAAATTGGGGCCGGAGGCGGGGCTTCTTTGAGTTGACCTGGCTTCCACAGCGTCTAGCAGAAGGACTGACTCAAGATCGTCACACAGCCCAATCTCTCCGGCCTCCTGGCTGCTGGCGGAAGTGAGGCGCTCGGTGTCCTCCTGGACAAGAGGCAGAGCATCTGCTTAGGGCTCCAGGCCTTGAGAGAGCTTGCAGGCGTAGATAGGGCTAGTCTTACATCGCGGGACAAAAACACCCTGTCAAATTGCTCTTTCTCTTGACAAGGAATATTTTTCTTGTGGTTGGCGCTACTAGTACAAGTATGATTCGGGGGCTGCTTTCCTGGCCAAATGCCTAGATCCTCAACTGCCTGGGCCTAGGGCCTAACTCCTCACGTGGCCATATGGCATCTGGCTCTTCAGAAGCAGATCGGATACCAAGCAGTACATGCACATGCAAAAGCAAGGCTTCAGTCTAGCGACTTTTTCCAAGTTCGCATCCACATGCGCCCGGGTGGCATAGGCATATACTCCACAACGTGAAGCGCTCAAGGTTTTGACGCCACAGGCGCCTGCGCCTGCCGAAACTGCTCCCACTGCTCCGGGCTGAGGGGCATGGCTTTCCTCTGGAGCGGTTCCGTAGCTTCGGTCTGAGGCAAGATCGGGTCGGGCTTTAGAAAGCTTAGGACTCTGCGAGGTTTCGGGAAACATTTCTCGGTGGGGCTGGGCAGTGAGCTCGGCAATCTTCGTGTCACGTAGCCAAAAGGTCAGGTCTTGTAGGTCTTGAAGGTCTGCGTCAACCAAAACTCGAAGAGGCTTGAAGATGTACTCACCCACACCCGAAACAGCTCCCTTAACCTTTCACTCAAATCCGGGAAGTCTGAGCTGCAGCTTCGAGCCTAGACTACCCGCGAGGCGCCTTGCTTCCTGGCGTACGTTCTCCAGCTCCGCCTGATCATACATAACTTCTTGGGACGGCCCGAGGCCCTGAATCCAGCGCACTGCTACAAGTAGAATCCAGAGTAGCAGGTGTCAACTGTAGCCCACCTGTTGTCCGAGAAGCCCTGGGTCGAGCTGTCGCTTCGTTTTTCGGTAGATGGGACGAAGCAGTGGAAGGATTGCAAGAGCGGGCATACGAGTCGAAGGCTCAGAACAAGCGTAGGGGCATGGAAGAGATTTCTTCGTCGCACGCTATCCACAAAACAAACCTCCCCAACCAACCACCCACGCTACCCGTCTCCCACCAAAACTCAAAACTTGCATAACACCTCTATTTCCGTAATATTCGAACAGCAAAACCTCTACTTAGGTCAAGACCTGAGATTTCTCCTCATCTTAACGGGAACTTTGTAGAGATGCTCTTCAAAGATCTTCATCTTGTCATATACAGCAAACAAGGTTTCTCTTGGATACTTTCGAAAAGTTGTTCGACTAAACTTGCGTGGAGGGGAAGGTTTGGGTTCTTCTTTGAAGGGGAGGCGGGGCGAACCAGGGCCCAAAGTTGAAAGATGTCGATACTCCAAACCTGGAACTCTCCCTCTATTTAGCCCAAAGCCGCTTTCTGCCTCGAGCGATGCGAGCTTCTCGTGCAGGGAAGATGCCTGGAAGTATCCCAGCCCTTCAAACCGCAGTGTCCAGCAAACAAGAGCCAACTCAATGAGCTCGGAGATCTTCCCGCGCACCAACTTTACAAGGACCGACACTTTCGAGAAGATGCAAACTTCGCAACACTCCCGAAACAGGTTCCACGTCCCAGGCCCTGGGCCCGCGCCTGACCCTCCAAACGCACACGCCGCTGGTCGTCCAGCTCTGCTTGCGTTGACAGCTCCTCAAAGGTCTCTCTTTTTGGATGCACTTATTCTTCAGGATCGAACGCGGCTAAAGACTCCCCTGAAGCTGAGTAAGCTTGAAACCAATGAACCACCCCCACTTTGCAGCCTCAAGCCTATTGCGGCTGCTGCCGCACTTGTATGTCGTGCCGTCGGCATTCCCGCACCCCAGAACTATTCAACTTACAGTTGCAAAGCCCCAAGTGACCCAAATCCTGGGCCCCCCCCCCGCAGTTCTCTCAGAAGACACCTCACTTGGGAGACGAAACCTCCCGATTACTCAAAACCCACAAGCCAGCATCGACCTCGTACCACCGCTTGGCAGACTGAAGCTCTGCTCGCACCTGCACGGGAAAAATTGAGGTGTTCAAGGGCCAAGGCAGTCAGAGGGAGGGAGCAGGATCTCCGCCAACCCATCCCAGCACTCCCCCTCCTTCATGGGAGCTGCCAAATTCGTTTAGGGGTTGCAAGCCTGGACTCCCTGTTTAGGACCTCTCAGGACCTCTAGTATGCGGATGGGAAAACCCTCTCTTCGATTTCCTTTGATTTCTGGCCTACCCAAGCTTGACTTCACAAAAGGCCTACGAGCACAGGCAAGTGCACTGTCAGTGCAAGCCTTTGCTGCTACAAGGCGCACAAGAAACAAGGCCTCAGGCGTCCGCCAGCAAGCATACATGTCCCAGTTCACTTACGCTGAGGGCTTAAGGTTTCGTATTCACCCTCCGGCGTCTTGTCCCTCAACCCACGGTTGGCTTCCGAATCTGCAGCTCAACCATGTGGACTGAAAACTGCGAGGTGCACCACATGGACCGCCTGTGTGGACGCCCTGTGGCTTCGGCCAGTTCGGCTGCCGAGCCGGCGCGCGCAAGCGTTTACAATTCGCCCTGCTGGAAATTCCTGATCTGGATCGCACTTAACTTTACCCTCGAGCCTTCGTGAACGAATGCATAGTTAATGCCGCAAGTCCTCTTCGGTGCTCAGGAGCGAGGCCGAGGAGAAGCCGAGGTGACGCTAAACTAAAACCACTTGACCTTACCATTCCAAGTCTTAAATGATGAGCCAAATGATGCCAGTGAAGGTGAATACAAAAACAGAATGAACGTAATCAATCTGGTGAAAAAAAAAACGAGCGCCATGAACTTTTGTCAACAAAAACTAATGAATGGAATGAATAGAACGAACTTAACGAAATCAATATAAAGAATTCAAGTAACATAACAAACATAAGGAATCTCATGAATTGTGCAGAAGCAGCACCTCACTTAGACTTACTGTTGAGGGTCGTTGGCCACACGGCCAGGCCGCGGTTGAACGCTGGTGAATAGGAGAAGATCGAGGAGTCCAGCAATGGGACTCAGCAATGGGACTCACCATTCTGGTCCAGGTAGGTCTTCCCCTGATCGGGCACCCATGGTCGGCCAAGAGGCACAGCAACGTATATAAAAAATGGTAGAAGGAGTAATGAACAGTAATGAACAGAACGAATATAATGAACATGAACATAATTAACGTAAAGAATGTAATGAATGTCATGAATGTAATTAATGTATTGACTGCAACGAACAATGAATGCAATGAATGTCATGAATGCAATGAATGTAATGAATGCAATGGTTGGGCCGGCCTGGCTGTCGAGTCGGGGCGCACAAGCGATTACAACTACTTCAGAAGTCGCTTGAGATGCTTATCAAATCTGAGGCAACGCCTTGCAACAAAATCAGAGATTCGAATTCGGCATGACATGGCTTGCTCTACGCCTCCGTATGCTTATCAGTGGATGCACAGCAAAGGCCAAGATCCAAGAGTCCACTCCAACAGTCTTCAAGACCACTCCAAGAACTCTCCGGGGGCCCGCAAGCGACGACGGTTGGCACTTCACGATTGCCCCCCTTGAGCGGATGTGTGGAGGCCTTCTAGACAGCGTGACGGGAAGGAAAGCACGTCGTTGCCACGGGTTCGTGACAAAGTAGTGATTCAAGCCCAGAGAGGCAGAGGTGGATTTGGACCGTCGGACGACGCCAAAACCTTGGATTCTACTATGAACACAGCGCCATGAAATCCCGAGGGCACACCGATTTTGACCCCAAAAAAGCGCCGTGCCCAAGCCTAGGCGAAAAACGTGCAACCGGGCCAACGAGCAGTTTAGCAACATCAACCAGGCCACCTTGCTCCCAACATGAGAACCCCAGTGTGTCGCAAAGCATTTTGAAGAAAAGGGAACCAAAAGATACCCATGACCGCAGAAGAAAACCGCACATGAAGAATAACGACAGACGTTGACAGGCAAAGAGGCAAACCTTCAAACCCCAAACCCTCGTAGCTTTGGGAAGCGGGCGTCGAATGAGATCAAACCTCAGAGGATGTTGCAGCAACGGCCCGGCAGGCCAAAGAAAAGCAATTTCCCCTGAACACGTATGCCCTAAACCATCCCTCAAAGCCCTAGAACCTCAAGGGAATGAACCCTGAACCCCTAAAAACCTACCTTGAACACTTCAAACCCTCAACCGCCCAAGAAAGGATTTATGGCTCACATACTTAACTCAAAGGAATTAGGTAGTATAAGGTATGTGACCCCAATGTTGAACATCCCAAAAAGGGAAGAGCAGTCCAAGCTTGGGAGGCCTGAGTCTGTTCCGGCCCCAGCTGGTCCAGATCTCGTCGCGCAGTGGTTGCGAGCCTCTCCTTTGGAGAGAGATTTGGAAGGGAAGGTTTCGATGAGTTTGGACGAGTTTCTTTCGCCGTCTCAAGGACTTTCAAGTATGTGCTCAAGTAGATGTTTGCACATTTAGCTATTTGGGATGGATCAGGGTTCCAAAGAAAAAGACTGCCTCCAAGCCCCCATTCTCGACTCGAGCCCAACAAACAAGCAGGAGTGGGTGCCCTCTTTTTAAAATTTTTTATGGCCAGTACAAAGGGTATATGTAAATATATATAGAAATACGCTAGCTCCCGTGCAATTGATCAACCGTCGTGTTTTCGTTCATTTTGCACTGTCAATCTTCGCGGTGAACCATCCCCTAGTGATGTATATGTGCGTCCGTCACTACAAGATTCCGGATGTTGCCCTTGCACATCGTAACACAACACTTTTGTGATTCAGCTCGGGGCCATTGACTAAGCAGATTCTTATAGGTTGAAGCCGAAGATGGTGGATCAACGTAGCAAGAAAAAACACAAATACATACATACATACATACATACATACATACATACATACATACATACATACATACATACATACATACATACATACATACATACATACATACATACATACATACATACATACATACATACATACATACATACATACATACACACATACCTTCCCATTAGCTGCAATTCACCCTGCGGGCCCCCAAACCAGCAGTTTACACGACAAGAGGACTGCGGTGCACAGGGAAAGAAATTCCAGGAATTCCGCCACTTATGGTGGGTGTCGGCTTCGGGTTCAGGATCTAGGGAATATCGGGGTCGTGTGGGCAGCCAGAAATGAAAGGAACGCTCGGTCGCCCGACCCCCTCACTCTTGCTGTAGCCCCTGAACGCCCAAAGAAGTCGAAAACCTTAGAAGTGCACTGAGAACGGGTCGGTATCCATGGTGGCCTGTGAAGCCTGGCGAGTTGCAAAGCCCACGTGAGCGCTAAGCTGTGACCAATGAGGTCTTTCGGCCCTCCAGACATCCAGGCCTTCACCAGTTCCGACTGCAAGAGTTCAAAGGCGCAGATCGACAAGCGGGCTTAGGCGCTCTCAGTGGAGAGACGATCCCTATTCTTTCATCAGCTCAGAGGGCCTATGTATGGAACATCCAAACACACTTGGCCGCCAAAACCGGCGCCGTCAGCGCAGCCGCGCGCCTCGAGGTGCTCTTGCTCTGCGTCGCCGAGTTTCTGCTGCGTGGCCTCCCGCTCTACCTCAGAAGGGCTTCACATGGCTTCACCATAGAAGTGATTCAGCATGGCCTTCACGGCGTGTCGGTCCCTGTTGCTCAAGCACGTCAAGGGCCATTCGGCGGCAAACTTCGAGTGTCAGACGGGGAAGTGAGGATCAAGGCTTCTGGGGCTTCACGACACTTTGGTACTTTGGGGTTTGGGGCTATTGTGGCTTCTTGCCGGGCTTTTGGATGCTTTTGGGGCTTTTGGGATGGTCTTGGGATGGTCTTGGGATGGTCTTGGGATGGTCTTGGTTCCCCACCGCAGCAGCCTCGGCATCCCTCCTTGCCTCCGCGATCCCGGCGGAGAGCTCCTCCGAGAGGCTTTGGGGGGACATTTTCAAGGGGAGGCCTGTTGGGCTGGAGACCTCTTAGAAGGACCTGTTCATGACCTCTCTTCGTGTTCGTAATATTTCAGAAGGAGATTGAACCAGGCGTGCTTCAGGTCGGGATACGGCTCGACGATTCCGAGCTTAAGCATCGGCAGGTCGTGTGCGAGAACCTAAACAGCTACAGGTAGCAACCTCACACATCCCGCACTCCGATCCCTGAGTTCTCGACCTGGATCCCCGAATTGACACGCCCTTAGTTCTAAGCCCCATCGCTGATCATGCATACTAGACGCTGAACAGCCCGTGGTTGAAACTTGACGGACGCCACGATGACAGAAACGAACCCCCGGATCCGAATGTGGCAACTGTCTCCACGATCGTGCCCGGCATGCAACATCTTCGAACACTCTGGCCTTGCCTTGTCACTCGTGCCGTATCGATCATGACTGCCCCGGGCATGTTCTACTGCCAACAATCGCGAGAGTTTCACGAATAGTCGCAGCCAGTTCGCAGACACGAAACGACGCATAGGAAACGACCGGCAGCCAACTTTCACCTTCAAAACCCCCAGGAACTCTCCACAATCGGAAGCAAAGCGATGCCACCTACTGACCGTGGATCCGATATCACCGATGCACCGAACCCTCAACCTCCAATTCTTGGGACGGCCTTGCCTCCGCAACGGACTCAGCGGAAAAAAGGCGGAAGAGGAGGAATTCCGCCTGATGCGAACCGACAGGCTTTGAATGTGGATGGAGTTCACGGTTTTGTAGGGGGGCCTTGCTCTTGGTCATTTGCTGATGTAAGCGATGTCTTTGTAGTTGAATTTGACGTGTGGATGTTGCAGTTACTCAAATCGATTTTGCAACGCGTTGGCTGCGGGTACTGCTTCCTGCTTGTTGCTGCTGCCACCCCATTCTTTGGACCTGTGGGAGATGTCTTGCAATCAAGTTTGCTGCGAAGCACAGCTCCCCAGCGTAGCCCTTTTTGATGATGCTCCGGACACGACGGCGGAAAAATCTAAGTTGACCGCAGGCTTCCTGGGCAAACCAGGTCGCCTTTTTGCATTGGGCCTGGGCCTGGCCCCAGCCGCATGCGCAGTCTGAAAGTCTATGACTATGAATTCCAGAAATTCAGCACATGTGCGCAGCAGCCATTAAGGTTTGGGCCCAGGCAATCTGAAAGAGCTGACTGACAAGAATCAACGAGAATCAGGAGCTTATCTGTGCTGCCAGGGCTACAGCCGCCTCGATGATGCCGTATGAGCCAACCCACACTGCACCCACGTTTCACTCAGCGGGCCTTTAGGCCAATCATTTTTGACAACCACACTCAGACATATTCTCATTTTTTCGTCGTTCAATGGCATCCAAATAGGGTATCGAGAAGTTCTGCTTCCCGGAAATTTTCCAATTCGCAGCACGTCCATTTTCCAACTGAACTGTTAGGCGGCGATCTCGCCAAGCATCGTTGGTGAGAGCCTTGGCAGGCCCAGCTTGTGCACCGGACGCTGTCCCGAGCCCGCCCCACCCCCCCGCGGTTTCGCGAACGTTGGTAAGAACAATAAAGGGACTACCTGTCTGTATGAGAGACTGCAAGCTTATTCGTAATTTTTCGCTTACTATATTCAGTTGTCTTGCGAACATGTGCGTCTTCGCTTACTGTATGCGCCTTTGCCAATGAATGGCTGTGGCTCAGTACGGGATGCTGCTAAACACAGCAAGGTGTCCGGAAACCTTTAACTTGAATTGCAATAAAGCCTGTCACAAACCAACTGGCCCACTGACCTTTGGGCGCCTAAGCCCTTGCTCAATGTTTACACTTGAAGCCTTGAGGCCTAGGGCTTCGGGGCTTCAGGGGAGCTTCGAAGCAATGCAAATCCAAGCTCGACGGACGGGAGCCTGCAGGGCACGGCGGTCGGATTCCATCTCCTGGTACCTCCGCGGAATTAAGTCGAAACTGGCATCGACAGGAAAAGATTGTTGAGATACTTGTATCAATCTCCCGCTGAGCCTGTATTCGAGACACTGTGCGCCCTTGAGCGTCCCACGTTTTCAGCCCTGACCTCAGCTCGAACGACTCGAACTCAGGTACCTCTCGGCTTCCTCCTTCTGCTGGGACATCCTCTTCTTCTCGTGCTGGGCATCCCGCTTCCTGCCAAGACTTAGCTCGAGGAGGTTCGGAGATCGATGAGTTCGGAGCTCTTTGAAATCAAACTCTTCAGCGGCAACGCCCGACATTCTGGCCAAAGGACTTCCACGGCACAGAAAAGGCTCAGACGCAGAGGGGAGGTTTCGACGATGCTCCAGATACGGGCGCTGGTAAGTTTCGCCGAAGATCGAGGTAACACCTAGACTCGAGGCCATTCGGGGTAGAGGTCCCTCCCCAGCTGCTTACGGATGTTTTGTGTTTAAGCTTAGGTTGCTTGGGAGAAGAACTTAAGCCGTCGAAGCTCTGACATGCCCACAAAAATGATGCGCCTGGTGTAGAGGTCACGGGCTTTGTCTTCCCGAGCGGCCTCATGGGTCCAGGCTCGGGGCTTTGAAAGGCTCGAAGGGCTTTAGTCTCGGGCTCTTACACGAAAATGTTGGTTTGGTGGCTGTGAGAGCTTGAGATGCAAGATGAGAGTCCGGTACTGCAAGGACACACGTCAGCATGCGATAATCCGATCCTTCTCCGATGCCAGCTTCTCGTACTCCTCGTTCAGAGTCACGGAACCTGACACCTGACAGAGTTCAACATGCCCCACACGCAGCCGTAAACCATAAAACTATGAAACCCTGAAAAGTGTTGAAAAGAAACCTGAAACCTACAGGACCTCTTCTACACTGCTATCACAGCCCAAGAGCCAAACATAGCAATGGCAACAGAGCGGAGTCGATCTAGCAGAAGCCGAACATGCCCGCAGCGCAAACAAAACAACCCTGATGTTTAGGACTATGGTCTGCACAGCTGACTTCCTTTCGACCACTTGAAGCTCAAGTCAGCTGCAGCATACTTCGTCACATGGTTAGGTACTGCATGATGCACGCTGCCAGCCGCAAAGTCACATGCAGTCATCACTGGATCACAGGAGAGCTAATAGCGGCTAACTGCTCAGGGTGAGTTCGAAGCGCGCTTCAGGTCAACGTTGAGTGCTTGCACGAAACAAGTACAGCAGCGCGACCCAAACGCCGCCCGCTCAAGCTCAAGCTGCTGGGAAGCTCTTCTGAAGCGCTTGAACATCCTTAGAATCCACAGGAGTAAAATACCCGCTCCTGTTCGAAGAAGGCCGTCAGCTCCTTGCCCTGGCGATGCGCTGCAGCCTCAATATCCTCGGTCCACATCGAATGGAAGGGTCGTGGGCCGTGTAGTCATGACGCCACCGGCTATAACTATAGCAGACCTTACCCAAGTTGCACCTGTGGCTCCTGAGTGTACTGCTAAAAACAACTTTCTTCTAACGTGAGAACTTATGGCTCATGCGTTGCCATAAGTTCTCACGTTAGAAGAAAGTTGTTTTTAGCAGTACGAAGTGCCGGCAATACAGATGTGGTGGAGGCAGCTCAGCACCATTGTGCAAGAAGGCCAACAGGTCTTGAGAAGACGCGGGGCAAACCGCGTTGTGTCACTAAACCCCCTAAGCTGAGATCCGCACGCCCTGGAACACCAGGAAGTTCCTGGCCTTGGACAAGATGTTGATCTCCTGCTGCTTTCTTCGGGCCATGGAACATTAAGGGCTTGGGGTTCTGTACCCAACCTGGAGGCCAGGAGTGGAAGTTGGCACTGCTGAGGGGAGTCAAGCACCCCACCGAGCGGAACAAGCCAGGCATGTGGAAATTCTACCCCGCAACCCTACACCGCCATGTCTGCAGAAACGTTGCTGCCTCTTTTCGTAGGGGGACCTTTCAAGAGGGTCCATTCAAAAAACTCTAAGAGCGGCAGCTACGTGTGCCGAGGGTCGTTGCTCTGATTCCTGCTGCCATAAACCATGTAGACATTACAAAACTCCTCAACGCAACCAGGACCGCACTGTCCCCATGTTAGGGAACCTAAAAAGAACCTCTTCGTTCGAGCAACTGTCGGTGAAGAGTGCTCGTATGGCTCTTAGGAAGCATCCTCGAGGCTCGCAAGGTACGCTTCCTGGGACACCGCCTCGCCACAAGGGGAGAGTTGGGTTGGGCAAGGGGTTCCTTGCAAACTCAGGCTTTTCAACCAGGGTTGATGACGACAATCACGCACTCCACGCTGCACACTCGGGTGAAATTCTTCGAAGCCTGGCCATGTGTGAGACACTTCGGCCAGCGCAAGTCAGGAAAAGCTGATCATAACATTCAAGATGCTGATCACAAGTAGGAAAGTATTCATGTTGCTCCAGGTTTCGGGATTCTCGGGCTTGGGGTCTTGCACTTCAGTTCCGATTATACGCCCGGCCGACCTGTCCATCGATCTGGTAGCGTGCCTGCAACGCATGGAGACTGAAACGCTTGGAATATGGCAAGCAGTCATATAATGTCAGGCAAACGCAAGTCTGACTTCGGAAACATGCCATTGCATCTTGTTCAGGGCTACTCAATTTCCAGCCCAGCAATGGCCCATGAGGCAAACAACGAGGGCCTCGGTACTGGGCTGTATGACCTGAACAAAACACCAGGGCAAGCTTCGCAAGCTGTCTGCTCCGAGTGCTGAAGGTATGGCAGGCTTAGCCAAGCTGTCTTCAGAGCGTTACCCCTCGAAAGCTTCCACATCAAAACCATGTATCGCTGCTGGGATCTGAGCCCGACGAAACCGCTTCGTCTGTGAGGAGCCTGAGAACATCGACATACAGAGCTCCAACATACAATACACACATGCACGTGGAAGCGGCATGCACGTATTGAACCCGTTGAATGAGCTTTGTTAACGTCGGGCAGTAAACGCGACGAAGAGTGTGCGAGTTCGAGCAGCCAACGGAAGCAAATGAATGGGCACATCTCTGGGTCGGGGGAGCCACTTGAGTGAGTCTCACCCGGGATGTCTAACTTTTCCGGCCTTCCGACACTTTAGCTCCAAGCTTTTGTGAGCGCGCAGTGTCTTGTCAAGCTTTTCATACATTTGCCAGCACGACTCCGCGAACCACTCATGCCCTGCTTGGAATGGGCCCTACCACGGGTCAGCTGGGCTCTTGGTCACCCAAGAGAAGCTGGACAACTCACCACTAAAGGATGGCATTTTCAATCATTTTCAGCATTCAACTGCCATCTCGCTCCTTCAGCGGAATGGTTGAAGCACTCTCTGGTTGTCCGGTTGTGGCCACGCACGCCGGTATGCACGGCTGCCGGATCATAAAAATACTTAAAAAAGATCAAACACTCAAAATGAACAACCGAGGGTTGAAGGTTTAGGGTTTTGGGTTTTGGGTTCAAAGTTTAGGGTTTTAGGGTTTAGGGCCTATTTCTTGTTGATACCTTTTGATTCTTGCTGATCCTTGTTTTTGGCCTCCATCCCGGTATCCACATCTAGCTTGACCTCTTGAAGCGAGTCAAGACAGCATTGTGCTGGTAGGCAATGGGCCCCCTCCCATAACCAAACCCAGCCTTCTTGAGGACGTTCGAATCGATAGACCTGTCTGCGCAGCGGTTGGGCTCGAAGCTAGAAAAAGAGCTGGAGAGCTCGAGGACCACGACGCCAAAAACAACAAGGAACCGTTTTTGCGTGATCTGTGTTTACAGAAAGCATGAAGCAATGGCTTGAAAACTTCGAAGCCCCCGGAATCCCCCTGAGGCACCCGAGGACCCCAAGCAAGTTGTAAAAGCCCAGGCTTGCTGAACAGCTGGGCTTCCGGGCCAGCTCCACGGAGCAACGCCGCCGCGCAACCTCCTCCGGACCTTCCGCCTCTTGGCGATGCACTAGGTCCTGGCACGGATTCTTACTTGGCTTTCACCTCTCACTTTCGTGCGCTAAAGGACATTGGGGACTTCACTGATTCTGTGTTTTTGGCTTCGAGGTTTATGGTTGTCCATGCACGGGGCTTCGTGGATTCTCAATGCGAGCTACAGAACCACCGAACCGCACTCGAGGCGACTTACGCAACCTTGGAGATCCTCGAAAATGAAAAACCCAACATCACCTCCAAGCCAAGGCTAATTGTTTAAGCAGTACACTTTCACATCGAGGCATTCATCAGTTTACAATTCCTGCACCTCATGCTTGTCAGATTTCAAAGCACAGCTCACACCATATCCCGACCCCCAACCCTCGCAGCCTGCAGCCGATCCCCGCGGAGGTGCCGCGTACGGACTCCCAGAACAAAGCTAACGGCATCCATCAAGTTCGACTTGCCCGCACCATTGGGACCTGAGCTCGGGCTTTCAGACGTGGGGATGAGCAGGGTTCTATTGCACAGCATGTTTAGAGCTCACATTTGTTCGGAGCTCTGTCTGTTGTTGAGAAGGATTTTCACATTTCGGTCGGAACGCAAAGAAGCTGACTATGCAAAGCAAATTGCCCACAAGCAAGATACGGCAACACGTGGGAATCCAGGATCTGGGCCAACAATGCATGTGAGCTTCTTGAACGGCCCCACTCGTACCTGCCTTGGAAGACCACTGCGATTTGACGAAGCCACTGTGCGAACCGAAAGAGTGTGTTGCATTACAGCGCCACTGATGCAAGCTGTGCCCAGTGTAGTTTCGTGAGTATAGGGGTACAAATATTGCCCCAACAACCACCCAAACAGGTCAGCAGGAACCCTTCATACGACTTGAAGTTGTCCAGCACCACCTCTTCAACCTGGCTGGCTACGCATGCGCTTCACGTGTTTTCATGCAAACCCCTCATCTGCGAAAGACAAAACAGGCATGCCCCGCGCATCCCTGCATCCTACAGGCCGACTATGCTACCGTACATTGACAGATGAAAGGTTGCATGCGCGAGACTGGTGTTTCGGTGTTGTTGTGTTGCTGATGTGCGCGGCTGCATCTCATCGTGCTTGAGCACCTCTGAGCCAGCTCCAAAAACTTGTCCTCTTGGATTTCCAAACTGCACTTCACACACACTCGTACATCTAGCTGCGCAGATGGCAGCAAGAAATAACACACCCCCCCCCCCCCACAAATAAAATAAACTGAGCACAAAAAAAATACCTAACAGCCCCGAAAGGCCCGAAAGGTGTCCTTGCTTTCGCCACACGCTTCCAACAATTTTCCCCCCCCTCCCCCACCCCTCCGCTTGCTCCCAATTCCTCCTCCGCTTCCTCCCCCTTCCTCCCTCCTTCCCCCCCTTCTCCCACCTCTCCCCCCCAAGTTACGGTCAGACGATCCCTCAAATTCGCAACTCAAACAAGTGAAGAAAAGATTCGTGGGGCGCTCTGTTCTGGGGGCATTTCACCGTATTTCTTCGCTGCGCAACCCCCCACCCAGTTCATTGCTCAGGCCATCCCTCTACTTGGCACTTGAAGCGATCGGATAAACACTTTACACGTCGAATTGACGGAGCTCAGCCCCCCCCCCCCCCTCTCCAACACCAGCTCGCCATCGAAAAAGCTGTCTGTGGGATGAACTTCAGGAAGGCCGTTGATGTAATGCTACATGTCTGCCATCTTGGCGACTTGCAAGGTTCGGATTTTCCGCCGAGGGACTCTCCTCGAAAATTCGTGACGGGAAGGGGGCCCTGCAACTCTCTCCCTTCTGAATTTGCTCTGTTTTTCTCGCAATTCTCTCGATCCGGCATTTTCTCACGCGTGCATGACGCCCGCACCTGTGTCCTCAAATGGCACCACAGGCACGGGAACGTGTGCTGGCAAGACATCGAAAAGTACAACGCGCCTGCAAAAAGCTCAGTCACAACTTCATAGAGCCCTTCCACGCCCAAGTTGCGCAACTGAAAGCTGGATGTTGCGTAGCTGAAAGCTGGATGGGCTAAGCAGCTCGGCATCTGTCCACAGATCGCCCGAAGCCCGCCGAGGGCCACATTACGTCCGGGCGCACGTCGAAGGTGATCTTCCATCCCTGCCCAAAGCCCAAAATTTCAGAAGTGGAGGCGCCGTCCAAAGCAGCGTCTGCTGAGGCCACCTTTTTCCACATGTTCAAAGCCTGCTCCATTGTTCCCAACCAGAGCAACGCATGTTCCAGGGAGTCGCAAACAAACATTCTCAACAAAGACCCCACGCCCTCGCCGGCAACTTCACCTATCTTCAGCTTGCAGCCCGTACACATGGCTCGCAAGGCCCAAAAAGCCTGTCGACGTTTCTTCAACACAAGACGAAACTGTAAACGAAGAAAACTTTCAATCTGCTGGCCACCATCTTCGAAGGACGCCAAAACGATCTCCTTGAACGCCTTCCAGAATTTGCAGATAACTGTTCTTGCAAAGGGCTGCTTTCGCCTTGAACGCCGTCAGATTCTCTCGTGATGCTTCTGGCTGTCCGTCGCCCTTTCTCATCCACATCCACGATGAAATCGCCTCCTGCTTGAAAGGCTCGTCAAGCAGAAAGCGCATCGTGCGCAAAGCATCCAGTGGCCTGCAGTTCTGATGACTCTTCCAAAGACTCTTCCAACCCTTGAGGGGCCACCGTGACATCTGTGACCACTCTGAACTGACCTCTGAGTCTCCCTCTCTCCCTCTCTTCCTCTCTCCCTCTCTCCCTCTCTCCCTCTCTCCCTCTCTCCCTCTCTCCTTCTCTCCCTCTCTCCCTTTCTCCCTCTCTCTCCCTCTCTCCCTCTCCCTCTCTCCCTCCCTCTCTCCCTCTCTCCCTCTCTCCTTCCCTCTCTCCCTCTCTCCCTCCCTCGTTCTCTCTCCCTCGTTCTCTCTCCCTCGTTCTCTCTCCCTCGTTCTCTCTCCCTCGTTCTCTCTCCCTCGTTCTCTCTCCCTCGTTCTCTCTCCCTCGTTCTCTCTCCCTCGTTCTCTCTCCCTCGTTCTCTCTCGTTCGCTCTCGTTCTCTCTCGTTCTCTCTCGTTCTCTCTCGTTCTCTCTCGTTCTCTCTCGTTCTCTCTCGTTCTCTCTCGTTCCTCTCTCTCCCTCTCTCTCCCTCTCTCTCCCTCTCTCTCCCTCTCTCTCCCTCTCTCTCCCTTCTCTCCATCTCTCTCTCTCTCTCGCTCTCTCTCGCTCTCTCTCGCTCCCTCTCCCTCGCTCTCCCTCTCCTCATCGCCCATCTCCTCCATCTTTCCATTTTTCCCCTTCTCTCTCCCTCTCTGTTCCCCGCTCTTTCCCTCCCCTCTCATCGTCCCTCTCTCTCCCCTCTCTCCTCTCTCTCTCTCCTCTCTCTCTCCTCTCCTCTCTCCCCCTCTCTCTCTCTCTCTCTCTCCTCTCTCCTCTCTCTCTCTCTCTCTCGCTCTCTCTCTCCCCCCCCTAGGAGGACCCCTCTCCTTCTCTCTCTCTCTCTCTCTCTCTCTCTCTCTCTCTCTCTCTCTCTCTCTCTCTCTCTCTCTCTCCCTCTCCCTCTCTCTCCTTCTCTCTCCCTCTCTCTTCCCTCTCCCTCTCTCCGTCTCCTCCTTCTCTCATTCTCTCCCCCTTCTCCTCCTACTCTCCGACTCTCCTACTCTCTTACTCTCCTATTCTCCTACTCTCCTACTCTCCTACTCTCCTACTCTCCAACTCTCCCTCCTACTCTGCTACCCCTTCTCTCCCCTTCTCTCGCTCCCCTTCTCTCCCCTTCTCTCTCCTTCTCTCTCCTTCTGTTTCCTTTCTCTCTCCTTCTCTCTCCTTCTCTCTCCTTCTCTTTCTTTCTCTCTCCTTCTCTCTGCTTCTCTCTCCTTCTCTCCTTCTCTCTCCTTCTCTCTCCTTCTCTCTCCTTCTCTCTCCTTCTCTCTCCTTCTCTCTCTCCTCTCTCCTTCTCTCCTTCTTTCCTTCTCTCCTTCTCTCCTTCTCTCCTTCTCTCCTTCTCTCCTTCTCTCCTTCTCTCCTTCTCTCCTTCTCTCCTTCTCTCCTTCTCTCCTTCTCTCCTTCTTCTCTCTCTTCCTTCTCTCCTCGTCTTCCTTCTCTCTTCCTTCTCTCGTCCTTCTCTCTTCCTTCTCTCCTTCTCTCTTCCTCTCCTCCTTCTCTCATCCTCGTTCTCATTCCCCACAGATGCAAGGGAATGAGGTCGCAAGCAAGTGTATGTTGGAGAAGCCCCTGGCCCAGATTCTATCTATGGTTTGCGAAAGCAACCTTTTTTGAAAAATGGCAAACGCCGTCTACTCCAAAATGACTCTAACCTGAACAAGCTCAGCCTTTGACGCACGAAACAAGCAGACACCACAACCACACACAGGGAGAAGAGTCACTCAATTCCTAGAACAAGGATGTGCACCTGTCTTCAATTCAAACAGCCCCACCCACGTCCTCTCAATTGAATTCCAACCCCCGGCTCCGGAGTTTCAGGGCGCTTCTCTGCGATTTTCCGTGGAGTTGGGCTCTCTAGCAGCCAGAGGTGCAAATTCAGCCACTTCAAAAAACATTGTAGAAGAACTGAACATAATGCGGATGCTCGTCCACATCGCTCTCCGAAACATACAATGCAGTGAATCTGTGCATTAAACTTCTTGTAGATGGAAAAAATGACGCCGGTTCCTAAAGCCACAAAAGGCAAAACACACGAAAGGCCAAATCAAGTCTCTGCTGCATCAAAAAAGCTTTCTGTAAGGACACGAAAAAAATTTTGCCGGGCGCGGCGTTTTACACGGCAAGCAAGATTAAGTATGTAAAAGGGGGGGTGGGGGGGGGGGTGGGGGCGGGGGGGTGGGGGGGGGGGGTGGGGGGCGTGGGGGGTGGGGGGGGTCTGGACCCTTGAAAACCCAAACCCTGCCCTAACACTGCAAACCGACAAACCAGATTCTTTCACTCGCCGTCAAAGAGCTCGCTAAAGAGCTCGCTTGCTGGGCTGTCCAAAGCAACAACCTCTACAGCTTCTCTGCTAGCGACAGCCTCTCTGCTTGCCTGTACAGGAGAAGTGTCAACAGCAACCTTAAATGAAGACAAACATGTCCTGACCACCTCTGGCGGTTTCACGAAGCTTCCCATACAAAGAAAACATGTCACAACCAGCAAACCAAAACTTCAACTGGAAGGCACGGACTGCAAAATGCATAAGCTGTTCCATCCGCGGTGCTTGTGAGTCTGAAGAGCCAACAGTGTTCAGCGGCTTCTTCCCCTGTGGAGTAGTCCTGTGGAAGCTGCAAAGCTGCTCATGGACGCAGATTTCTTGCTTCGTGACCCTCCTGAGACTGGAACTTGCAAGTGCGAAGATGGTGGACGCTGGAAGGCAGTGGCACGGCGAGGCTCCAGCAAAGTGTGGCTGCAACATCTTCCTTACCGTGTCACGCAGGCTGGTCAAGGCGGGGGAGGACCTCTGTCTGTGCTGAAATGACAGAGACCTGGAACTGCGGAAGAGGCGGAAGGTTCTGCAGGGGCTTCTGCAGCAACTTCTTCAGCTTCGTCTCCGTTTTTCTCACGCCGCTGACTGGGTGTTCGACGCTTGCTGGTGCGAGCACGAACACGTCTGTCACGACCAGTAGAGCCCATGGTTATGGTGCCGCGCCAGCGAGCAGCCATGGCAGAATGGGCCCCCCCCTTTGGGCAAAGGGGGGCTTAAGCCCCCCTTTAAGCCCCCCTTTAAGCCCCCCTTAAGCCCCCCTTCAAAGGGGTTCCTGCAAAGGGGGTCCCCTGGGGGGGGGGGGGGGGGCAAAGGGTCAAAGCCCTTAAGCCCCCCCCCCAAAGCCCCCCTTAAGCCCCCCCTTGGACCCCCCCCTAATGAAATTTTCAAAGGTCACTTTCTGTACAATATCAAACTGTTATGTAAACTACCAAACACAGGACTGTTCAATCAATAGTCTTGACCACACCACAATACAAGCATACAACTGTCAGATGCAATCTCTCGCTCAGCAATCTTTTGTGTCACTTG